ACAATATGATGACATTGATGTATTTATATAAAATTATATGTGTGCATACAGAAACTTGAAAAAATTAGCATATATTGAAGTGCCTACCGTGTTTGAAACTAGGCACTTAGAAGTGTTAGCTCCTACTTTAGCAACAATATTCTACTGTAGGCAGAGCATCATTTTTGGAGACAAAATTTAATTCAAGTCTTGGCTCTGCATCCAACAGACCTGTTTTACAAGTCACTTCTCTGAGTTTCTTTCCTCATCCAAAAACAGGGACAATACTTACCATGTTTTGAGGTTCAAATGAATTAGCATATGGAAGTACTTTCTAAAGTAGTATAATTAAGGTGTAAATAATATTTGTCTTTTTTTAACATGTTCCAAAACTCAAGGGTTAGTGTACAAAGGCTTTATTTATTTATGATAGTGCATCTACTGTCAAATGTGAAGTCCATATTAAAACTGCACTGGCCTCTGGACGAACCATGAGAGACGATGGATTCTGAAAAACAAACTGAGGGTTCTAGAGGGGAGGAGGGTGGGAGGATGGGTTAGCCTGGTGGTGGGTATTGAGGAGGGCACATTCTACATGGAGCACTGGGTGTTATGCACAAACAATGAATCGTGGAACACTTCATCTAGAACTAATGATGTAATGTATGGGGATTAACATAAGAATAAAAAAAAAAAGACTAGTAAAAAAAAAAACTGCACTGGCCTCACCATGATTACATACATACACGGCTCACACGACTTACAACAGTGTGCAGTAAGTAACTTCGAGTCAGAAGTCCTGGATTTGAATACAGCTAATTGTGCAATCTTGAGCAAGTGACAACCTCTGCAAGCTTGCTTCCGCATCTACAAAATAACTGTTGTGCATACACTGTGGGATTGTCGGAAGAGTAAGTAGCTGGAATTGTTTTTGAAAATTATAAAATGCTAGAAAGTCATAAAATGCTAGAAAATCATAAAATGCTAGAAAATCATTGTCATGCTGTCTTTAGATTATAATGTATTTCTTTATGCACCTCCTGGAGGGAAGTTTACATTTGGGCCTCAGAATGGATGGTAGGAAACTACAGGGGGAAACTGCACTACAAATAAGTGCTAAATATATGGAAATGAAGATTTATTAGTAAAAACATTTCTTCCTGTAAACTGAAATAGAAAGCAAAGGAAAAAGCATAAACAGAGTACTCTTCTTAATTTGTAATAAGATTTCAGTTTGCAATAAAAACATTTTCGAAAAAGTTATCCATGCACTGGTAAAAATTCAGGCAGTACAAAAGATTATTTTGATAAACGATGGTCTCCTAACCACTGAACTCCCCCATTCTGCTACTCTATATCATCAGTGCCCCAATTTTGCCTTATGGAAGCAACTCCCAGTTTTGTATACAAGCTTGTATGTGTGTATAAATATATTTTTATATATAATTTCTGGTAAGATTGTTAGAACCTTTCACATTTGCCTATTCATAATTAAGTCTGACTATAGACCACTTAAAATTTTTGGCCAATATTGCCTTTGACTATTCTTTTGAGGGCCATCTGGTTGGTCATCTTCTTTTTCTCCACAGTAGTTTGGATTAACTACTTCTGAAGCAAAAGATCTATTTTTTAGTTTTCTTTCTTTTGTTATCACTTTTTAGCAAGTTTTTGCAATACTCTAGAGCTGATGAGCTGATGAGCTGAAGTAAATCACTGGGTTTCTCCCTGAAGTGAGCCCTCCTGGAGTGATGTTTCTGTCATTAAATCCTGCAGGCTTGTTTACCCACCCTTCTGAATCACACTCAAGTAGAAGCCTGGAATGGTCTTACAAGATTTCAAAGAGCTTGATTTACTGAAACATATGTTATTACGGAGTGTTAATAACATTGGGGCCATCGTTAACCCATTGTGATGAGTACTGCTAGTGTCCTAGCTTAAATATCTCATGCTCCCTCATTCTTCTGACACTTGACTGGCAGTCTCATAGAAAACCCCATTCCTTGTTGGCCTCGTTTCTCCTCTGCTCAGCCTGAACTCTGTTACTGAAAGTACTCTCTCAAAAGCATCCTAATCTCGTCCTCTTCTTCCACTAAATGAACCTGAGATCAAACCTGCAATACATCTTTCCTACTACAATGGCTGGTTGAGCCCCACAAAATAGTGTCACGTAACTGCAGAATGCAGAATTATAGAGTCCTGGCTTCCAGTATGCCAAATCTTTAATGCCATTCGGCAGTATTATTTAGGCTATAGTTTCACCTGCAGTATTATTTAGGCTATAGTTTGGCTGCATGTAACGAAGACATCGTAATAATCAGGGCAGACATAGGATATTCCATTTCCCTTGCAGGTAATCAGTTTCTGGCTAGGATGGTAGCTCTGCTCCTTGAGGCCTTCCAAGGACACAGGTTCCTTCTCTCTTGTTCCCTCATCCTCAGTGAATTACCCACATTTGGCCTACAGGTGATCTGCTGCTTGGTCCACATTCTAAGGAGCTAGATAGAGGGAGGGGGAAAGTGGGCTGCCTGCTTTCTTTTAGAGGGCACTAGCTGGAAGTTGCACACATCATTTCTGCTTCTACCCTACTGGCCATTAACTTACTCACGAGGTCTCACTGAGCTGCAAGGGCAGCCAACAAATAGTCTCAAAAAAAAAAAAAAAATTGACATACAAAATATTGAAAAATGTAAAAATCACATGTATATGATGTATAAAATGTTTAGTTTGCTGAACTTTCATTAACAGAATACACATGCATACCCGGCATATAGGACAAGAAGAGTAATACCAAAACCCCAGAAGCATCCTCATGTCTCCTCCTGGACTCTGCCCCCTCCCAAGGCTAACCACGTCCGAATTCTAACAGCAAGCTTCACCTGCATTTGTACTTTGTATAAATGGAATCATCCACACATTGTGTCTGGATTCTTTGGCATGGTATTATATGAGAATCAGCTACGTTGTTGTGTGGCTATGTTCCCAACACAAAATTCTATTACTATGAAAGAAGGGAAAAACAGATTATCAGGGGATTATTGACAGGCTACTAGCTATTAGCCATCTCACTGACTTCATTTATCTTCCTAACTTCTCCCCATTTCCTAAAGCTTTTTATCAACTCTTCCACTCCCCCTTGGCAGTTGACTTCTGACTTTGTTGGAAAATGTGAATTCCTTTATGCTGTTATTACTACGAATATACCACATCTATATTTATTATATCTCCTTTCCTCTAGCCTCAAACAAAGTGGCCCAGCATTACTTCTGCCATATTCTGTTAAAGCAGTCACAGGGCCTGCCCAGATTCAAGGGGGTAGAAAAATAAAATCCCGTTCTTAATGAGCCACATCACATAAGAGCATGTGGAGTGGGAGACCCTGTAGTAGCCATCTTTGGAAAGTACAGTCTAGCACACCTAGCTTGAAAGCATTTGTACAGCTACTAAAAACTATAGTAACCATATCCAGAACTGTGAGATAATAAAAAATTAATAAACCACTAAATTTTGGGGGTCACTTGTTAAGCAGCAATAATTATATGGCTAGGTGTATCAGTTACCCGCTCTTAAGAATGCTGCATAACAAATGACCCCAAAACACTGTGGCTTACTATCATAAACAGTTATTATTGCTCACAAGTCTACAGGTCAGCTGGCTCATTCTGCAAATCTGGGCTAGGTTTGGTTGATTTGGGCTGGGGTCAAATGCATCTGCAGTCAGCTAGCAGGGTGGCTGGGGGAGAGCTAGTCTAGCACGGCCTCACTCACACGTCTGGCTGTTCACCACGGCAGCTGAGTAGGGTTCTAAAAGATCAAGTGGAAGTGTTCAAAATCTTCGGAAATCTACTCAAAGCTGGCATATATTATTTCTTCTGCATTCTATTGGCTAACACAAGTCCCAAGGCCAGTCCTTCAGATTTAAGGGGTAGGTGAATAAAGTCAACTTCCTGGTGGGAGAAGCAGAAAAGTCATATTGTACAAGTCTGGAGTACATGAAGGGATAAACAAGTGGGGATACACTGCAATAAATCTACCCAAAATAAGTAAAAACTGTACTGTTTTAATGAGCTGTCTGTAAGCATAAACTGAGATATTTATATTTACAATTCAATCCCTCTTATTTTAATTCAGCACTCCCTGGCTTATTACTTTCCCTCTTTTCCTATCCCTCCTATTACATTTGAAAGATAATCTGATTTTTTTCTTTTTTCTTTTTTTTAAAGATTTTATTTATTTATTTGCCAGAGAGAGGGAGTGAGAGAGAGCCCAAGCAGGGGGGCCACAGGCAGGAGATGCAGACTCCCCACTGAGCAGCGAGCCTAATGTGGGCTCGATCCCAGGACCCTGAGATCATGACTTGAGCTGATGGCAGATGCTTAACTGACTGAGCCACCCCAGCGCCCCTGATTTTTTTTTTACTATAAAAATTAACTTATACTGTAGGGATTCGATAAAGCTCCAACACCATGAGTAAGAGAACTAATAGTTAATAACAAGTGTAAATGAATTCCTTTGCATACAGAATGAAAAAACTAAAGAACAGAATAAGTGAATCAGACAACTGAAAGGTCTACAACTGGACTTTAATGAATAATTTTGGTAAAATCTGTGGTTTTGCACATTTACACAGGTACAAAACACACATAAAAGATGAACAAAAAGATTCTTTCTCTCCTTAAGTACTTCTTAGAACAGCCTTGACTAAGTTTAACTTGATATATATTTCAGGGCTTAAAACCCAAGAAATGAACACATTTTTGCACAGTTAAAGAGACATAAATTTATTATCTAACATTGGAAATACTCTCTTGACATTTGATTTGTTACTCTTATTGGAAGGTATGTCTTTTCAAAGTTTTCCTAGGAGACAATACAAGAAAAAAGTATCCATCCAGATTATCTATCATCATTCTTTGAACATTACTTTAAGAATAACACAATCTTAAATTTGCTCAATTTTTAAAAACATTGACAAAATGTTGGAGCGTTATTGTTACTTTCAGAATCTCTTTTTGAAAAGGAAATTCGTATTAAAAAATTGTTTTTGTCCTGACATTGGTGGAATGAGATACATCTATACTGCTCACAAATTCAACACACAAGTCTGCTTTAAAAGAGAGAACACTAATAGGTAACATGAAATGAGAGGCCAATTTTAGGAGATGCTTTCATTCCAGTGTACTTAGTTAACCCCTCTCCTAGGTTTTACCAGCACATCTCTGAAAAGAAATGCACATCCTAATTTCACAGATAATTAACAATGATCATTTTCCTTATACATTTAAAATTCGCTTACCTCTTTGACAGCTCCAGTCTTAACTGTAAAGAAAAAGTTATTTCAAGAACCCAATTTTAGGTGCCCCAACTACATTTTACCATCACAACTATCAGTGTTTCTTAAGAGGAGGATTATTGACACTGTGGGTGAGATAATTATTAGTTGTGAAAGGCCATTCCAGACACTGTAGAACATTTAGGATTCCTGACCCACTCACTAAAAACCAGGAGTTTTCAAGATCACTGTGACAACCCAAAACATGTTCATCCATTTCTGACTGCCCCTTGATAAGAACCACTGAACTAAATGATCAAAAATTAATATCTATTAACTTTGTGACTTCCACAGAAAGTAACTGCTTCATTACCTTCAGTAACGATGACTGAAGAGGAATACTTTGTTTAAAAAAACAACTGTAATTAAATGTTATTTTGGAAAGGTAAGCTGTTTCTTCAAATTCATGGTAATCTGAAAGGATTAGATGCACAAAGTGCAATACTTATTTATCCCCAAATGCACAAATACATTTACAGGAAAATGACTGTTTATGTTTTACTGGCATATCTAACCCCATTTATCTTTAGTATAAAAATATGTCCATCTTCTATAACAAAATAAAAAACATGTGGATCTTCTTGATAAATTCCTTCACACTGATGTTCCTGGAAACTGCTGCTGTCTTTGCTCCAAAACTTGCTGATTTAATAGTTGTTGCTGTTTCTGTAAAAATTGCACCACTTCTGGACTTCTTAGTAATGACTTGAAAAGAAAAAAGAAAAAATATATTTATTAACATTATGCTTACGGGACTAGATTGTCTTCATGCTATAAAATTACTCTGATATGTCTCTATACAAGGCACAATATGCTTACAAAACAAAACACACCTGAATTGAATTCACACTTGCACCTGATGCACTGTGTTAAAGTGCAAACTAATAATAATAAAATTTGATGTCATACATCAAAATACTAAGACCTAAAGTAATGGGTGAAGCCTAATCTTATCGGTGACTTTGTACACAAAGGAAATGCTTTATGTTACGCCAGCATATATACTATCTCTGAAACATAAGAGCAAACAGCCAAGAATAGCACTGGCCCAGGATGACAGCAAGAAAAACAAGGATATGAAAAGGGGCCACATGTGAAAATAGCAGTTGGATGCCAGTTTGGAAATCCATGTAAGGATTCAATTTCTCCCACTAGCCTATTAAGTCTTTCTGAAGAAATTAAAAAGAATGTGTGTGTGTGTGTGTGTGTATACATATATAGGTATTCATAAAAGTAGTATTAGCACATTACAAAAATTTCAGAAAAGACAGAATATGATCTAAAAAAAACCAATAGTTTTGTACACATACCATTTCTAAATACAGTCATATAACAAATATAACAGACTATAGTTAATATGCTTTTACTTTAATAAAATACTTCTATAAATTGATGAGGGAAAAAAAAAAACCTTGGTCCCCCCAAAATTAAAAAAGATAAACCAAGTGAGGTGGAAATACTATCATTAAACACTGATTTTAAAACTTAACATTAGAGCAGGGTACATTTTCTAGTTATTTGTTTAAAACTTATTTATTGTCAACTATACTTCAATAAAAAATTATTTGAAAAGATGTACCAATATTCTATTAAGTGAATGCACAATAATCTACTCAGCTTTTATAAAACTGTTGAACATTTAGGTTGTTTTAACTACTATTTTACTATTTGTGATAATTACATTTCTGGCAACATCTTTATGCTTAACTTTATCCATATATAGGGTTTATTTCCTGCTGAGCTAAAGGAATGACCATTTTATTTTATTTTTTATTTATTTATTCATTTTTTTAAGATTTTATTTATTTATTTGACAGAGAGAGAAAGCGAGAGAGGGAACACAAGCAGGGGGAGCAGGAGAGGGAGAAGCAGGCTTCCGGAGGAGCAGGGAGCCCGATGCGGGGCTCAATCCCAGGACCGAGATCCTGACCTGAGCCGAAGGCAGTTGCTTAACCGACTGAGCCACCCAGGCGCCCCAAAAGGGATGACCATTTTAGAGACTGCTGATACCACTGCCCAACTGCTTTCTAGAAGTCTGATACATATACAATACCACCAACAGAATGAGAGTGCCCATTTCATGAAACCCCCAACATCACTGTGATGTCTTTTAAATAATTTTCATTTGTTGTATTGTTTATTGTGATTTTTACTGATATTGAATACCTTTTCACATCATTTAATGGTAGCATTTCTGCTTTTAGTCCTGTTTATATTTTTTGCAATGTACTTGGAGCCAACATTTTTTCCTCGTCAATTTATATGAATATTTTGTAAACTAAAAATGTCAACCACATTAACTATTAGTGTCTTATATGTGTTGCAAATATTTTTCCTATGTTAGTTTGAAGTTTGCATTTTTACCACCATTTTTGACTACAGTATTCATTTCTTTGTAATTCTATTTCTTTTAAGCTAGAAAAAGATTTTTAAGTCTCAATTCTATTTTTTTATTTTAATTTTAAGTATCTTTATCAGGAATTTAGTTTGATGTGTAGTGATATGATGAGCTAAATTCTCTTTGTCTTAAAATTATTACCCAATTATTTCCTTATTTATTGAAAAATCTCTCCTTTTCTGACCGAAATCTGATGACTTCTAGCAGATTTAGAATAGAGATCCTTATTAAATGTTGGTCTCATTCTACTTCCATACTACTAACGCATTTGTCCATAAACCACAGAATTCAGTACAAAGTCTGTTTTAAAACCCCATTTTGCTCACATATTCAAGGTTTAGTCAGGAATAAAGGTTTGTCTTGGGAGAGCATTATGAGATTCCAGTGTGTACCGGCAGAGAACAATCAATTCTGATGACCAGCTGAGCAAATTTTAAAATCTCAAAAATCTAAATAATTTTAACAACTTCTGATAATAAATTTGTAAGTACTTTACAGATACTTACCAGTCTTTTTTGATTTAACACTTGTTCTAAAAGAGTAGGTCTTGCAGGACGATCCCCAAAGGTTCCTGTTCTTTGTTTAACAATGGAGAGTATATTATCTGTACTTTCCTGGGATAAATGATAAAAATGCAAACAGGGTTAACAATTAACATAATATAATAATCCGTTATTGTATGCTTTCAATGATGTAATGAATGGGTCCTCAGCTTCTCTTCCTTCTTGCCCAGTCCCTGTGAAACTCTGGGAAAATCCCTCATAGATAAAATGTTGGCACTTAATTTTATAGAACACTCCTCACTCCCTCCCCCTCCAGTTTCCAACCTCAGATCTCCAGTCTCTTGAAGGTCTCAAAATCAATAGTGAGGCAGAGGTGGGAGGAGCAAAGAGTTACTTGGGAGCTATTTTCAATATTACAAAAAGTGCCAAGTGGAAATTGAACATTCTCTTTAGATGCAGCTATCCAGGCCAAAACAAAGTTTGCTTGCCTTTGGATGGAATACATAAACTCAAAGGCAATTTACATATTGTTGGAGACACTTCAATAGTTTTTTGTCCAGTTAACAGCAACAATTAAACAGGGGGGTAGACAGTAAAATATTAAAGAAGCAACTGATAGACAAAGTTTTCAAAATTTGGAAGTCACTAGGAAAAAAATGACAAACTGGCTTTGAAAAGACTGGAAAGCACTGGTATAAATAATCTCCTGCCACTGGTATAGACAAAATAGCTAAGTCCTAAAAAGAAAACCGTACTCTGAGACATCCTTACCCAAATAAACTCAGCAGCCCTAACTGCCAAATATGTATCTCCAATTCCTTGACAGAATCTTAAATATTCACAATTTTCCTGGCATAACCAAATACTGTAGTTAACTGAGATATTCTGACTCTTATAAAACCACAATACAATCCTGATCACATCCAAAAATGCTAAGCAAATATAAAACTATAGATGTTTTACCATAAAGCCATGTCATATGTAAATTTACTCTTCTCTCTTTGCTCTTCATTTAGATGATTAGAAGCTGTTTTCTTCTCTCGACCTCTCTCTCTACTGGCCTCTGAGTTCTCTTAGAATATCCACTTTCTCTCTTTCATTATGGGAAGTTTATCAGCCCAATGTGACAAAAATGTTCAATCCCTAAACATTATAGGCCACGAAATGTAAAAACAAAAACAAAAAAACAAAAACAAACAAAACTGTAAAAAGAGCATTCTGATACCTAAAGGAAACAAAAATAATTTCTTCCTCTCTCCCCATAGGATTAACTATGTGTGGCACTGTTTCATTTTTATTTGCACAAGAAATGGAACCACGAAACTGACTTGATGGCAGAGTACCCTATATTCTCACAACCCCAAATAAAGCACTATGCAGATTCACAATGTTATGTCACAAAATCACAGAAACTTGTAGTAGAAATAACCTTGAGTCAGCTAGTCCAAACTTCTATAATTTTGGGATTCCCTTTTCAAAAATTTTCAACACCTTTTGCCCTAAGGAGTTTACCAACTTTTGAGGCATCCCGTTTAGTTTTAAATAAATCCAACATTTAGGTAAGCTTTTATTTTGACTGAGCTGAAATATATATCTCTTGTGATTTTTACTTAAAAGTCCTAGTTACATAGAACTATGCAAAATAAACCTACTGCTTCTTCCAAATGATAGCCTTTTAGATATTTAAGGATAATGATCACTCCCATAAGTCTATTCTTTTATCCCTAGTTCCTTTATGTCTCTCCTATAGCATATTTTTTAGATGCATGGACTAAATGTCATATACATTTGTTCCTTATTTAACTTGATTTATGTAAATGATTTTAAATACCTTTATTTCTAATCTTGCTTTTCACACTACAGAAGACCCCTATCACCACTTATCAGTCCTACTATAATGATCTCCTAAAGAATCTCTAAATCTATAGGCCTCAGCTGTAATCCACCCCATTAGAGTATAGCCCCTGTTACTTCCTAATTAGAAACTTCGTTTGAAGACTCCAAACCCAAGTCCTATAGTTTGGCATTCAATACCATACAAAAACTGGCTACAAATTCTCTTTCCGAATTTATTTTCCATGAATTTTCCACCTAAATATTCTGCTTTAGTTAGAATGGTCCCCTTGCTTCTTCCCAAAAGTGTCTTCTGTATTCCCACTTCCTTTTCTTTACTAAGATGTGTTTCTCTTTATCTACCAAAATTTTAAAGAAGCAGTATAATATGGGGATAGAGTGAAGGCTCTAGAATCAGATTGCCTGAGTTTGAATACTTGCTGGCTGTATGACGTAGGCCAAGTTACTTAACCTCTCTGTGCCTTAGTTTCCATGCATGTAAAATATAGCATCTATGTACCATTGCTGAAGGGTGCGAGACTCCATTTACAGCTTAGCACAGTGCCTGGCATATAAGAAACTTAGCTGATGAAGCTTAAACTATTAGCCACCCTTTCTGGCATATACTGAGTTATATTTTCTCTGCAAAACCTTTCCAGAGTATCTCAGCCTATAATGATCTATCCTCCTCTCCACTATTAAAATAATATTATACAGTTGGCCCTTATTATATCCTGATGGTAACTGCTGGTTGTTTTCTTTACACTCAGTTCGACAAAGACAAAGACAGCTCTTGAAATCTCCTCAGAACTGGTCAAGTGTCCCATAACATAAGACAAATGGTATAGCAGGGTATTAATTTTTGCTTATAGCAGTTACTTCTCTTTCCTAAAAATGTCATGCAAATTATTTTAGAATAAGCAAATTATTTTAGAATAGGAAAATCCTTTCTGTGGGAGGGGGAAGGGGAGACTTAATTCAGTATCTATTTGCCTTTTATACATGTTCCTCAAACTGCAGATGTAAAACTGGACAGTTAAAAGAAGGTAGCTATAGATAAAGTACTTCTTTTCTTGAAAAGAAGTATATTCTCCCTCTGTGAAGAATTCTGAAGTGAATTTGGAATGTACAGAGAACAAACAATGACCCTCACTTTCATTCTGTAATAAGTGAGATGATTATTTCCATAATTACTTGTAATTCAAGATTTGATAAAATATATTTTACAAGGATGTGGATACAGGTCTTAAACCTAAGATCCACAGGGGTCCTGAACTCTATAACGTGTATGCAAAATTAAATACCTACCTACCTATGTGTATTTTTCTGGGAAAAGAGTTCATTAGGTTTTATCAGATTCTCAGATAGGGCATTTTACCCTAAACAGATTAAGACTCAATGGGATAAAAGCAGACCCTAATCAGTGTGAATGAAGTGTGACATGCTGATGACTATAAATTTTAAAAATTTAGAACATCACATTTTAACAATTCTAAAGTCTAAAATTTTAGCAATGAGGCAGCTGTTCAAATCCAGCAAAAACTAAGAAATTTAAAGAGTTTTAGAATACATCCTAGGATAGCTTTCAGTTTAAAAAATTTTCTGGATCATTTTTAACAAGATTCAATTTTTCAATGAAAATGTACTGAGGGATTATAGCTTTTATTAAAAGGAGGAAAGCGCACAGGATGAAACATCTGCTTATCTATAACAACTTCAAAGTATACCACTAATAATGACAATAGTGGCTAAGATTTCCTGACTTTTACTATCTGCTAGACACTGTGTGAACACTCAATATGGAATATCTCACATATTCATTGCAACATTATGAACCAGGTCCCATTTTAATACCTATTTTACAGATGAAGAAGCTGAGCTTAAGAGTTTAATAACCTGTTCAAGGCCACACAGCCAGCAAATGATGGAATGAAGATTTATAGCCAGAAGTCCAACACCAAAGCACTGGCTTTACCCTTCAACACAGTTCAAATCAAACATTCCAAAAATCTTCCTGAGACTTACACCCCATTATTATTCCATTTTCTTTTCTAGGGGCACTAAGAAAAGGGCTAGTGAGAACAGGGTACTAAGAACAGAGACACTGAGAACAAGGTATTAAAAGTACAGGGTACTAAGCATGAGAGTACTCAGAACAGGTCTATTAAGTATGAGGCTACTGAGAATAGAATTACTGACAACAGAGTACAAAGAATAAGATTAACCAAGAACAGGACACTAAGAACACTGTACTAAGCATGGGGTACTAGTAACAGTTTACTAAGAATAGGGATACTGATAACAGTATGCTGTGAATACGGTAATGAAATCAGGAAGAGATTACCTTCTCCAAATTACAATTTCATGTAGGTTCCTAAGTCTCTTTGCCTCCTCCTTTGGCGATGAACCAGCTCCATCACCTACTATCTGTCCTTCCAGCCTATATCCCAGATCTTTGAAATGACAGATCTGCTGATGTATATCACATCATTTCCACTGACATTTACTCATCTATTACAAGGGTGCAACAGAACTGTTAAGGCTTTGCACATGTGTTTATAAACTTTAATTTAGGACAAGCACTCACTCTCAACCACAAGTCCAGCCCCAGCATCCTGGCCCATATGGTTCGCGGTAAGAGTGGAGTTTCTTCTAACCACCTCCCACTCCCCAAGACCCCAGCTAAGGTCTGATACCTCCAGTCTGACGTTTCCCGCGCTGCCAGGCTGGGCGGACCCACTGCAGTTCAGGGCCTGGTCACTTTTCTTCTTTTTGTACTTGTCCTTGTACATCTTGTTGCGGTGTTTCTTGCACATCCAAGGCTTCCGCTGCTTGGCCACCTGGCTCGTGGTCTCGCTGCAGCCCTCGAACGTGCAGGTCTTGCTCATGCTGCCCCCGCCGCTGCCCCGTCTCCGGGCTCCCCCGCTGCCACCCTCGCCCCCAGAGTGGGTCTCCTCGTCCTCCAGATCCTCCAAACTAGCGGTGCTCTCGCCTCCCCCCGGGGCGTCGGAAGTGTCCAGCAGGTCGGCTTCGTCCTCTCCTGCCTCCTCCTCGCCAGCCCCCGCCACTTCGCACAGGTACCTAATGGGCTTGCCTGCACCGGCGCCGTCCCCCAGGGCCGGAGCCTGCCTCAGGACGCCCTCGGCCGCAGAGTCGTCCTGCCCTCCGCAGGGGTGCATCACCAGCAGGGTAAACTGCGAGCCCGGGGCCGGGACGGGAGCTGGAGCCGGGGCCTGGCCCAGAGCAGGGGCGGGGGCCCCGGGGCGGAGCGCGCCGCTGGCAGCGCCCGGCCCCGCACCCTCGACAACACCCTGCACCTCCGTGCTGCTGACACCTTATGGGGCTCCACGACCCCAGCCCTTCAGCACCTGTAGGGCCCAACGGCACTTCGCAAACCAAAGACCCAGGACACGCGACAGGAAAAAAATCTCCGGCTCCGCGAAGGCAGCGCGACTGCGCCTGCGCGCGAGCTTTTCCACGCCGGGTGCCTTTCAGGGAACTCGGCGTCTCTGAGGGGCGGGGCTGAGCCTCCAGCGGAGGAACTGACTGCGCATGCGCATGTGCGGCTCTGGCGCTGGCGGGAGGCGTAGCGCTTCGCTAGCGCCGCCGCTGCTGCGGAGGCTGTGTGTGAAGGTGAAGCGGCCGGGGCGCTCGGTAAGGCGGAGCTTTTTTGCTGAAACCTAGTGTGTTTAAAACGTTTCAAAACACTTGTGAACTGGAACTCCACAGGGTAAATTAGGATTGTTCCTGAGCGATTTTGTGACCTGTGGCGTTCGGACGCTAATTATCATAATATTTTGTCCCTAACTGCCTGAAGTGGGAGATGTGACGCTGGGATGTGGTGATGTCACAGCCTGGGACCGCTAGTCAGCAGTCAGGGACGGCAGAGGCGGCCCATTTGAAAATACTGTAGTGGAGAAGGAGTGGGCCAGACTTGGGCCAGAGTTCTGTTTGTGTTGAGAGCTAAGTGATTTGTTCTTGATAGATTTGTCTTTCTCTCCTGGAAACTTACTTATTTGATTTTTAATATTTGTCCTTTGCTATGACCGCTGAGGTAAGTCTTTAATAACGTTTTCATTAAATACAGTGAAAATGTGTGAAAAGCAACAATGAATGACAAACAGAAAAAAAAAACCAATAAATGATCTATCATTTTTACCAGTTGTTGCACAGTTGCTGGTTGCTAAATCTTAAATTAGCCGAATCTCACGGGGGAACCGATCACGCCAGGTCTTGAACGAAACTGTCAAGTGGTTGTGCTCTTTCCGTGTTTTCCTGCCTCCTTGCCTGGTCGGGTTTTGCATTCCACCTGTTGCTAAGGAAAGCAATGATTAGCCAACAAATGATAAATCCACTCACATTAAGGTGTTTGGGTGTTGATGTGTGAGTAGATCGCCAACTGCATTCAAAGAGAGGCACAGTGGATGGGAGAAAGTTTGGAATTCGACAGACCTGGGTGGCACTGTCCCGTGTGACCAGGCCTAGTTAGTGACAGCCTGTCTGAGCTTTGGCTTTCTCAGGGGTGAAAGGGGCAGTCAGTGGTGTGCTAGACCAGGTCGATGAGAGCCAGTTGTTAAAATATCAGGAGTTTGGGGCGCCTGGGTGGCTCAGTCGTTAAGCGTCTGCCTTCGGCTCAGGTCATGATCCCAGGGTCCTGGGATCGAGCCCCGCATCGGGCTCCCTGCTCCACGAGAAGCTTGCTTCTCTCTCTCCCACTCCCCCTGCTTGTGTTCCCTCTCTCGCTGTCTCTCTCTCTGTCAAATAAATAAATAAAATATTTTTTAAAAAAGTATCAGGAGTTTAATGAGCTGGAGGTTAAACAATTTCATTATTAAAAATTAAATTATATCAAATTATTTTAAAAACAGAAGTTAAAAACCTCAAAACTCATCACTTTCTAATTGTTTTCCAATGTTTTACTATTAGCCACGCTTGTAAGAATATTTATGTCTATTGTATCTGTATGTGGAAATACTATGGAGATCTTGATGTGATACTGCACATCTCTTCTCAACTCTGCATTCGGTGATGTCACATTGGTTGCTTGAAACTAGCCATGGTGAGAGTATTTACACTATGGAAATTGTCAAATGAAACAAAGCAGAGCTTGATTTACTGTCAGTTGTCTTCAGACTTAAAGTGATAGTAAAAGTGTTAATGAAGATTAAACTTAAAATGTTTGATCTGTAGCTGTCACATCGTCAATAGCTTCCCAAAATTGAGGAAATATTCTTTCAGTATTTGAAAACCATCATGATTTCAGCAAAGTAGCTGCTTACATCACTGAAGAACAAGTGAAGTCCTGGCATACATCTCATTGTTTCACTTTTATCTTACTCATTAATATAAACAAAAATATCAGCCAACATTCATGCCAGAACTACACTGTCAGTAATGTGACTAACTTCTTTGCTGATTTGGATAAAAATCAAGCATTTATTTATAGTTTGAATTCATGACACTGCTGTTGGTAAAAACTGACAGTGGATTTTGCAAGTAGCAAGTCACACTGAAGTGTGGGTGTATGGAATTTACAATAGTCTTGTGATTTTTATCATTATTTGTAAATCATGTGCTAAGCATTTTTTCTATCAGTTAACTCTTTTTTAAAAGTTTACCAGCATATCACTGAGGGCAGTGCTATTTAAATCCTAGTACAAATTCCTCTTATGGTATTCAATAAATGACAGCAGGGTTGTTGTTTTTTTTTTAATTTTATTGAGAGATAATTTACATATGAAGCCCACCCATGGTAAGCATACAACGTAATGATATAGGCCAGCAGGGACCAATTGACACCTGTAGTACTGCTTTAATATTCCATTTTTCAATGTTAATGTAATTTAACTCTGACTTAGGCTTCTTCCTTTGCTTAAGAAAATGATGTATGGAGATGGGTATTAAGGAGGGCACTTGTGATGAGCACTGGGTGTTATATGTAAGTGATGAATCACCAAATTTTACACCTGAAACCAATATTACCCTATTTGTTAGCCACCTAGAATTTAAATAAAAACTTGAAATAAAAAAAAGAAATTGATGTATGGTTATTTTTTTTTTTTAAGATTTTATTTATTTATTTGAGACAGAGAGAATGAGAGAGAGCACATGAGAGGGGGGAGGGCCAGAGGGAGAAGCAGACTCCCCGCCGAGCAGGGAGCCCGATGCGGGACTCGATCCCGGGACTCCAGGATCATGACCTGAGCCGAAGGCAGTCGCTCAACCAACTGAGCCACCCAGGCGCCCATGTATGGTTAATTTTTATGTGATTTGTAATTTAAATAAATTATTTTACACCTAGAACCAGAGTTCCACATCTGTTTTCCTCTATTTCAAACTCTGTAGACTAGTTCACCTTCTCTAGCTTATTTTTTCTTCCTTTCTTGCTTTTAGACAACAGTTTTATGCTTTCCTGAGAAGTAATATATGCTGTGTGTTTGGAGCTTAGGAAAGGAATCATTCTCATTTCCTTTTTTCAGTCACCCTAGGTGTTCTTTCAAACTATGAAACTTGGTGTTCACAGAGTACCAATTTTCACCAGAAGAGAACTTTATCATTGTTATCACAGCATAGTAGAGTGGTCTTAAAAGCAATTATAACCCTCATTTTTATCTAAGAATACTTGTATGGAAATAAATCTTTAGGTCTTGGATTTTATTTTATTATTTCAGAGGAAAATAAGTACTTAACTGTACTGTACATCATGTTTGTGATATTGATTGAATGAATATTATGATCATTACAAAATGATAATTTTCAACTCTACCACTTCCTCTGTATTTATGAGTTGGCATTTTACTGTAAGGAAAAGCCTTCCCTTTTACTTTATATATTTATTGTTTATATACTATCAGTATGGGCTCATGGATTAATGTTTTCTTTAATAGATTGTAATCTCTTACTTACCTTATTGATGTTGCTGCTCAAATTGTTCTGGATTTGGCTGGACTTCCTAGATTTGGCTGGTAGTAGTCCTTCAAGCTGCCTCCTATATCCTTTTGAGCACTCCCTTGCTCTCTGGCACAAGAAGATATTCCAGACGTGTCTTGTACCTTCCCAGCTCCAGTCCATTTCTCCTCTCTTAGGATCTCTGGTTCCTTTTCATAGGGGATGATATCTAGACACCAAGATCTGGGTGCTAGATGTGCTCCTTGTTCCTAGGCACTTTTAGCAGTTAGAGATAAAGGGAAAAAATCCAAATATGTATATATTTATACGTATATATCTATATCTAATCATGAATTCATGCTGATTACTGATAACTCCAATTCAGATACTAGCCCCAGTAGTCTTTCTTGCCTTCCCCCATTCCACATTAGTATCTTCTTTCTTCCCAATGAGAACTCTGTTGATGACACGAGTCATCATGACATGAGAAATTTGTTCATGGCAATCTATATTTCATGTTATATTTTATATTACTTTTTTATTTAATGAGTTTTTTAAAAAATAATTTATCCTTTACTTCCAGAAAGGTAAAAGGCATAGTAAGAAAATAAAAATGAGCCCATATTTGTATTTCTTGCATCTACCAGTCCATACATAATGCATGACTACAGCAAAAAACAGACTATGCTTAGACTTCCAGATATATTGTTTGCATTTTGTTTAGGAGAGCCAGGAGATAACCTCCTTTGAAAGATGATTTCAGAGAGTTGCTGGGTAGTACTTTGATAATAACAATATCAGTGTAAGAGTAGAGGACCTTTAAAGGAGGAAATATTCCTGGATATTAGTGGCTGACGTTTTGACTTTAGTCAGAGGTTAAATATCTATGTATTTGATCTTTCATACCCCAAATCACCCTTGAATCTAGTCTAACATAAATGTCACCAAATGTATTACCTAAATATTAATAAAATACAGAACAGCAGGGAAATATCTACAAGATGACCTCCTCTGGTTCCTTTACAACAATGAGAGTTCCTCTATCCCCTGTGATATGTACTCGTAACACTTGTGATGTTATCAGATACACTACCAAGCTGAGTCCTCATTTGAACATATGCAGGGAAACATTTTTAAAATTATTTCTAAGTAATTCAGATAAGTTTGGTGTCGTGCAAATTGTGTGACTGGAAGAACAATGAGAGGCAGGACTTGATCTATGTGAACATAGAGCTAGCAACTGGACCCATATGCTATGGCAGTAAAAGTCTGGATTCCATTGAGAAACAGGCTATCTTCTCATCCTTCTTGAGCTATGTGTGGAGATGGGGAGGATGTAAAAAACTCCTGGAGGTTTCATGATTTAATTTAAATTATACAACTAAGTTGTTTTTCTAATTCAGATTTTTTAAGATTAACTGAAATAAGGCATTGCACCCCATCAATTTATAGAAACATTACTTTTTCCAGAGATGAGAGATCTTCAGAAGTATGGGTAGGTTACTTTATCAAAGGTCCATTCTAGTAGATAATTTTTAGACAAAACAAACAAACAGCATTCTAATGACAGATTAAAGAGGCTAACTCTGGTAGCACATGTATGAAGTAATGTTTGTTCTGAGACACCTCAATCTGGTGGCATTAAGCTCTATTTTGGAATAAGTCTTAGCATGACAGCTTCAAGGGAGTCTGAGGTGATTTGAAAGGACACATGATATATAATAGGGAACTGGGGAAAGAGTCACAGTCACATGATACCTGAAACA